GGTGATTGTAAAATTTTGGTACTTGTCATCAGGACCAGACTCAGAAATGAATAGTCATGTATACACACATATACATACATATGTACATACATGCTACTAAATCTGTTACTCTACTAAATATATAGTAGAGTAACAGAAGTAACAGATTTAGTCGAGTTTCATTTCATTCAAAGTCATTGCTGTCTTGGGACTAATGTTATATTCAGCATCTCCTTCACTTCTGTTTTCAGTATCACTGTCTGCCTCTTCTATCCTTGTGATATTTGAAATATCCACATCACTCAATCATTGATAACCCGGCTAGGTCAAATCGCCATTCTTCAATGTTTCCCCCCCCCCGATCTACATTTTCAAAGAATTTTAGATTTTGAATTTTTTGACATACAATTCAGTTACTGCCTCAACTTCTGCACAATTAGATAAATCTCCAAATTCTATATTAGGAAGACTCTTTGTTCATCATCAAACCAGCATTATTAGTTTTACTTTCTAACAAGGTTTAGCTTCTCTATATATGGCATCGAATACAATCAGCTTTTTCCAGAATTTCATTTAATCACCATCTTATTCAGTAGTAGCAGGAGAAGACTAGAACAGTAAAGTTGTTTCATAGATGATATTACACCTTGGTCCATCGGCTAAATTAAACTGGTAACATTTGGCAGTAAATGTTGCACATACGTGTTTTTTACTCACTCTCATACATAGCATTGAGTGTACCTGCATAAATAATTAGCACTTGGGCAACCAAGAATGCACTGTATTTGGCAAAAATTATCTCTTTATTCTGTCTTATGACCATTTATTGTTTTAAAACATTTTTTGTGTCCTGATTTATTGATTTAATTTATTTTTAATATTAGATGGAAGGTAAAAAATAACAGCGAGTGGCAAGGCGTCTTTTCAGAGCTAGTATGGACACTCAAGCAAGACTCCAAAGGCAATATATTGTACTTTGTGCATCACATATCTGAAAATGAGTCAAATTCTCCTTCTGTTAAAAAAATGAAAACTTCAAACTATAAGAAAGGCTCTCAAGGAAAAGATATGACTATGTCTTCTGAAAAACTGGATGAAATGTTGAGGGATTATTTAAATTTACATGTAAAATTAGAAGATTTATATAAAGTTTGGAACAAGTGTGATGAAAATTTTAAAGAAGTCTCAAGGAAATTCAAAGGCATTCGAATTTTACGCCAAGATCCTGTTGAGAACCTTATCTCTTTCATCTGCTCTGCAAATAACAACATACCAAGGTATGCAGTTGTATCACACAGTAAAATTATAATGATTCCATTAGTACATTTTTTAAGGACACTGTTAGATGTGAAATATGGAAAATAAAGTTTTTTTAAAAAAAGTATTTTTGTTGTTATATTAAACTGAAGCAAGAATTAGGAAATTTTGGTAAAGATTTAAAATACAAATATATTTTCTGTTTCCAGGATCACTAGTATGGTTGAAAAGCTTTGTAGAAATTATGGCAAGGAATTATGCAAAATTGATGGTCAATTATATTACAGTTTTCCTACTTTAGAAAGTTTATCTGGAAAGGGAGTAGAAGAAAAGCTACGGAATTTAGGATTTGGTTATAGAGCAAAATATATTAATCAAGCAGCAAAGGTTTTGCATGAAAATCATCCACCAGGGTGGCTTGAAACACTCAGAACAGTTCCCTATAAAGATGCTCATAAAGCTCTGACAAAGCTACCTGGTGTTGGAGCTAAAGTATAATTTATTTATAAATTTTACTTGCTTTAAAATCTTATCAAAACTAATACTATATTTGATTCTTTATTTTTTCTGCTGTATGTGTGTATATACATATATACTAATGGATTATTTAGTATATTATCTCCTTTGATAAAGATAGTAGAATTTTATTATATGTGTAATTACTTAAGTAACTTATTACTTACAAAGTATTAAAAAATGTTTGTATAAGTTTATACATACCTGTGTACATGCAAAAAGATTTATTTTAAATTTAAAATCATGAAGTCAAGAATTCTTTTCTGTTATATTTGCAAACAATATATTATTATTTTATGAATATTGTATATCATGAATGCTAAAATGGGCTGAAATTCTGTCACTGAATTTTCAGTTAGATTCATAGTACTCTCACTCTGTCACTGTATCAATGTACTTCAATAAAAGTATGAGATCGGTTCAAAAAGAAACTGAACTTTAAAATTAGTTTAACATATCAGTATAGTAGTCCTGCTGTAATGACATCTTATGGGTTTACCTTAATTTTCACCTGTTCTTTTCTTAAGAATACCACATTGTTTTGTCTCTGTTTTATCAACAACAGGGTGAATTATTTACATTTTAAAAAAATAAAAGATTTTGAAGAGCAATAAATTTGTCTGAAGTTTTGCTTAAAACTGGAAAAAAAAAATCTATTGAAACATTTCAGGTGTTGCAGCAAGCTTATGGAGAGGATTGATTTAGTCAACCCCAGAACAGGCACTAGGCTTTTTGCTGCCTGGTGCAATCTCTGTGATTTCCAGATTCTGAAGTCTATTGCTTCTAAATTCTGTACATTTTGCTACCCTCTATGTCTGCATTGGTTCTGGTCGGCCTATTATGAATGGTATCGATATTTCAAATTGGGCAGAACATCCACCAAACACAATCTGGGCACCTTTCCACATCAACAGGCAATCTTTCCTCTGAGGAAGTATGTAGTACTTTGATTTGTGCAAATCATCACTTAATTACCGAGATTGCTGAAGATCTAGGCATCAACAAAATTTCAGTCACAAGTTTGACTGAAAATTTGAGACTGTTTGCATTTTAACAAAATTTATGCTACTGTCTAATGATTTATGAGTAAAACATTAAACATGTCACGGCTAGTCAGGAGTTGTTATATCATTCAAATGCAGACCAAAACTCTCAAAAACATGTCATGATAGGTGATGAAACACATATTTAAAAATATGACATTGAAACAAGGAGTTAATTGTTGTAGTGGGTGTGAACATTGTTACCTTGACTGAAAAAAGGGTATTAGAGCAGATAGAAATCTAGCATACATATTAGAGTAGATAATGTTGATCACCTTTTTTTTTTATTGGCAGAAAATTATTTATGATGAGTTTGTTCAACAAGTTCCAAACAATCATCATATTCTTTTACTTAGATCTTATAAGATGAAACAATGCAACAGAAGGGGCCAGAAGTTTGGAGAAATAAGCCTTGAATGCTAGATTATGATACCTTACCTGCATGTTCGTCACTCCTTATCTATGAGTTTTTGGCCAAACAAGATGTTACTGTCATCCTGCATCCTCTTTACTTTCCAGATTTGACCCCTGCAGACTTTTTTAATTCTCAGTATATAAATCCACCTTAAAAAGTCAACAATTTAAAACAATAGAAGAGATGGAAAAAAAAATTGCTGAGAAACTTACATACAAATACAGAAAAAGGTTTCTACGAAGCATTTCAGCAATGAAAGGTGTGTTGAAAGGGCTGTACAAATAGAGGAGAAAAGTATTTTCATGGGGTAAAAGGTACTTTTGTGAGTTTCTGAATTTATTTTAAAAGTTTGATTTCTGTTTGTCTGTTGAAACAGATACTAGATCTGAGAGTTTTACATTAAAGCATGACAGTCATTGCTAAACCAAAATCTTAGCAATAAATACAACCTGAAACAGTAATAGCAAATGACTGATACACATCACTACTCAAAAATGTTATCCTTCTTGAATATTTGAGAAAAATATAGTTAACATGAACTGTTTGTAATCTTTTCTTCCTTTGGTTTGATCATTGGCTTCATTGCCATTAGATTGCTGCATTGTCACTAAAACATAATTTCATTTTGTGATAATTTGAACATTTTTTCTTAAAAGTAATTATTTGTTATGAAAAAATAAATGGCTGACTCTGTATGATATGGCTATTTCCAAATTGTAAATTCTATCTTGGTTCTTTCCTTAAAAAGTCAGCAGTAAGTCAAAATCTTGTATGAGCGTGTCTGGAATGCATTATGTGGAGTTATAATATTTGATGAACTTTATAAACTTCACATCTTATAATTAAAAGTTAATTAAGCAAATGAATATAAATGTAAAAATTGCATGATTTATGGTAAAATACATCAATACTAGATAATCTAGACATGTTTTCGAATAAAATATTAAACACAGTTCTTGGTTTCTTCTCAAAAATGTGTGCATGCAAAGCTATGAATATATAAGAATTTTCTTTTATGACTTATGTCCTGGAAAAAACTAAAGAAAATACAAAAAATTCTAGTCAGCCACATTTGATGTTGCAAATCAGTAAATTAATAGAAGTGTTTGAGATAGGTGAGAAGATGGAGGGCCATGACTTATATACAGCATATCTATAAAAAGTAGTTATTAGCTTTATTTTTTATTGCGTTAATCTTAGGTCCTTACTTTCAGTTACAAATTTTCCCAAAATCTGTTATCTCTTTTGTTTCTCAGTTTCAGATGAAGAATATTATGAGAGGAATTTCAGTATTGGTAAAGAACAATTTTAAAAGTTCAAATTTCAATTTTTCATATGGCCTCTTTAAAGCACTCATGCCTAGTTTAAAAAATATCATTATGCCTTAAAAGATCAAGTAAAAAAAGTTTGAATTAAGAATAAAATGAATTCCTTATTTGTTTTGTGATTTTTCTTAACTTCTTTAATGAATATACCTTTTGTAATGTTGATATTTTATATTTAATGTTTACTTACTTTTATATCTTTTTTTTTTACCTTTCAGTTTAGTAACAGAAAAAAGTTTTTTTTTTTTTTTTTTAATTTTTATTCCATAGTAATTATGTTTCATTTTATAAAACAATTGTGAATTTTTCTTTTGAAAATACTTTAGGTAGCTGACTGTGTGTGTTTAATGTCTCTTGATAAATACAATGCTATCCCTGTTGATACTCATATTTGGCAAGTCACTGTAAGAGATTACTTACCTCATCTGAAAGGTGCCAAAACATTAAGTCAGAAAGCATATCAAGAAATAGGTATTAAAAATAGTACAAAAATTTTGTCTTATATTTATTTAAAATTTTTGCTTGAAATATTAGACTTGCATTAAAAACCAGCGAGTGGGTTTCATTGTACTTAATTTATAGTCCAGTACATTCCCGATTATCCATGGAATTGGGTGGCTCGGCCGCCGCGGATAATCCGAAAAAAGCTAAAAACTGGTATAGCAAAAGAGAAAATAGTCATTCCAACTTTGAAAAATCGTTTTATGTACAATAAAACGTAAAATAAACAGCAGGAATGTTTAAAATGCTTATATTTTAGTATATCACTAAAATAACTAAAATGCATTTGTTAATGCAAACAGAAAAGTGCTTTGTACTACGAGTCCTCAAGGATACACAGAAAAATTAAAACATATGTACTGTTTAATACCGTAAGTATTATGTAATACAAGAGCATAACTGTAAAATACACTTTTAGAAGAATCAGCATTTTATTGCTTCTTGCTTTGAAGATTTCTCTGATCCGAGATGCATTTTTGTAGCATAAGTTTCTAGGCCAACTCCACGCGTCTTGTTCTTTCAAGCTCAGCAGTCCGTCGACTGTTGCAAAGCCGTTCGTGAGTTTCGCATCTGACAGTGGGCTCTCTTCGCCTCACTGCGCTCTCATCATTCCGCTCTTCCCTTGCTTTCTTCATAATTTTGCATCTGTCAAGCGTTCGAAGCAGGTTCGTGACATCACACTCAACCAATCGTTAATGTTCAGCTCGACGTCTCCACCGCAACTGTTTCGCATCGACGTTGTCACCACCCGCAACTGTTTTCCATCGGCAAGAGTCCGGGGACATGTTACATTTCATTCTCTTCTTCACAACTCAAAGGGTTCGGTTGTTGTTGGCTTCAACATTAGGCATGAGTTTTCCTGATTTATGAGGGTTGCGGTTTCATGAGTCCCAAGCAGATGGAATATCGTAGATGCGTCCAAGTTGGTAGTGTTTCCCAAACTTTCATATCATACCTTCTTCAATTTTGGTAAGCAGCTTGGTTCGGTATGTTCTCTTCATTGTTGCAATGACTCTCTGGTCCATGGGTTGGATTAGCGCAGTAACGTTTGGGTGGGGGGAGAAACGTTGCCAAAATTTGTCCATCAGAAGACTTTAGCACGCTTGTTGCTGGGTGTGAAGGCGCGTTGTCGATCAATAGCACAGCTTTTTCAGGCAATGTTTTTCGATTTAAGATGTTTACGCACTTGGAAGAACAAAGATTTTTTCGAACCATCTTGAAAAATGTGCCGGTTTCATCCATCCTTTTTTTTTTTTTTTTGGTTAAAGTGTTAAAGTAATCAATGGGCAAATTTTCGATCCTTGTGCTTTTGAAAGATCTCGTTTTTTTTTTTTTTTAATTTTACTTTCTAAGACAACAAGTCTAAGTTTATGTCCACCGTAGCGTTACTGCAAGAATGATAGTGATCCTTCCTTGCTTGCTTCATGACCTCCGCTTTCTTTCACTTTCAGGTGCTAAAGGCGAGTGGGAAGGATTTCACAAAAGTCCGATTCGTCGGAATTGTAAATTTGTCAAAGATAGCTCTTCTTTTAAAACAAATTCCTCAAATTCATGGTGGATATCATCGGCTGCTTGTTAGTCACCACTAAGTTTCTCCCCATGAAGTCCAATTTCTTGAATTTCATGTTGCTGTTTAAAACAAGTCAGAACCTTTCATAGTTTTTCGCGTTTTCATTGCAAAAGCACTGTCTGACATTGATGCAAAGTTCACCAGTTTGTCTTTTGCTTTAGAATGCATGCACTGTTCTGATTCCGTAATCCAATTCCATCTGCTGCCTTGTAGCACCGTTTGCTACTTTCGAAATTAATTTTAGTTTCTGCGCAATCGTCAACACAATCTTCTTTCGTTTTAATGACATTTTAAATCGGTAACGAAAAACACAAAACCAAAAAGCACAAGCACTGAACACAATAAAAGATAAGAAATTAACTCTGACTGGTTCGCAAATATTATCAGGCTTAAATTGACAATGGCGAGTGGGAGGAAGTGGACATATCAGTAAGATTAAGACAAGAGAGGGCGGCGGAGCGGGCACTGCAAAGGTGAGTAAGAAATCACTTAGTCATCAGAGGGGAAGGTTCTGAGAAGGCCTGGGATATTTTTGCTATAAATAAGCACGATGTTTAGCAAATTTAACGTTTCGCTCAGTTTTGTGAACATTTTTAATTTCTTTGCTTCACACATGTAAAAAAAAAACTTTGTGCGGCAGGCGCGGATAATCCACTCCGCATAATCCGACCGCGGATAATCGGGAGTCTCTTTGTATTTCCAATTTATAAAGCCCTGTAGAAGATTAAAAAAGTAATTTTTAAATAGATATACAATACTAATTCAGAAGTCAAACAACAAAAATCAGCGTTACATTTATGAAATTTTCACAGGACCAGTTTCGATGGTTTTACCAAACCACCATCCTCAGCTGCAAAACCGCAAATCCTCAACATACACAATATATACAGTCGATTCCAGTTAATTGGACCACATCGAGAGGCGATCATTTTGGTCCTAATAACCGGCTGGTGCGATTACACGAACATGGCTTATGTTGTAAGACGGAACGTGCTATATGTAGCAAACAGTAAATGTACCTGCAAGTCATGTTCTAAAATGTAATTATGAACTTGGTGGTGCGATACACACGTATTGTGAACATACATGTACAAACAAGAACTACAGTCGAACTTTTTTCATTGAGAAAATTAATTAACCTTTTGAAGATGGGATGGCCATTATAGTGGCCGTAGAGTCCTCTCTTTGAAAAGACGGGGTTGTCCACTTTAATGTCTTTTTCTCCATGTCTTTTTCCTCCAATTTCCAGGCTGAAAAGTGGGGTGACATGTCAAATTTGACGTCCCTAGGGTTTTAACCACTTATCTCTTTCAAAAGTCTTCCTTTTGCAACATAGATGCACCCCTCTGAGAATCCATTAAACTACACACAAGAATCTTTGTTGCAAATAGGAGGTGATTTCTTAAAAAGGGGAAAGCATTCGGTTCAAGATTCCCCGTCCTTTAGTAGCTTTTACTGCTGCCAAAGCCCCGGCCTCTAAAGGTTAAGAAAAAAATTCTGAGAAACAATCTCCACAATACTCAACATGCGAAGCAAATTAAAACAATTTCTTACCAAGTTCCAGTCAACATTTGAAGAACTTATCCAATGTGATCTGACGCGTTCTCTTGACGAATCGCACATGAACGAAATCACCACAAACATCTAATGCAGCAATGGGACTGCCTTCATTTCCCTCCTACATGAAATACCGACACAAAGTTTCAGTGCATTTCCTCGCATCCTGTGTTGTCACTTGCACCAACTTATTATGCACCATCATCATCATCACTTTCTTGGTCTTCCAATGATGTCGTGTGTTTTGCTGCAACGATTGCAGCGTCGTAATCTTCATTTTCATCATAGCACTGAAGCTCGTTGTCAATGGATAAAAATTCTTCGCAATTTTGTACCTATTGAAGTTCTACATGTAAATCATCATTTTCACTTTCAATGAGCATGTCCACATCCATCTCCAAAACCAAGTGCTAAGCCACAATGAGAAAAACAGTTCTGATTTGTCTCACTGCTCACTTATCGCCAGCTGTCGGCCACAAATCTAACTGCTTGTAAGATGGTGACCTTTGCACTGACTTCGCTGGCTTTTGACGATGAGGTCAACAAATTTTCTTCAATTGCTTCAAGGATGTAATTAACCAACTTTGCACAATAAAGGGTCTTCAAATTTTTTATGATGCCCATGTCCATTGGCTGGACCAAAGCTGTGGTGTGTTCACCTCCCACCGGTTTTGCTTTTTTTGTGCACTTTAAGGAATTCCTGACCTTTGATAAAGCATTTTTTCCTGGAGAGCCGCAACTACAGATCCTCCCATATGTCGCAGACCACCTGTACATTGGGTGTAAAAGGCTGACTTGTGGCTTCTGTTCCTTATTCACTCTCACATTTTTTGGTCCAAATAAATGAATAATATTAGGCTTATGTACATAGGATTTGTTTCGGTTCTTTAGGATTTGGCCCAAAAAAGTGGCTGGTCCGATTATCCGGTGGTCCAATTAACCGGAGTCGACTGTATATATATGTACAAGATTTGTTATGACTTCCTTTTCCTGCTTGCAAGAAATTAAAATATTTTATTGGCTGCCAGAAGTGCTTTGGTGACATTTTAAATTAATTTGGCAAAAACTAAAAGGAATGCCATGGCAACCTTCAAATAATGAAAATCTGCAAAGTATAAGGGAAAATGACATTTATCTATCTTTATAAAAGTCAACTCATTAAACATTTGGTGCTGTTATAAAATACAATATTAATATTTTCTGAGTTTCATCTAAATTCAACTGTTTGTTACACCATCTGAAAAAAGTGCAAAAGTATATGAAGTTCTGAACTGGTAGAAAAGGAATCCTGGAACCACAAAACAAGTTTTCAACACAAAGACCTTTCTCCCTCCTGCAGTTTTTCGCTTACCTCTCCAAATATTTTACTTTTCAATAAACCGTTAGCCATATTTGCACTTCTGCTGATTATACAAAATTCCTTGGTCTTGAAGAAAAAATTAGCCGCTGCTTCTTTCCAGTTGATGCTGAGTTAAATGTAATTAACATTTTAGGGGAAGGGATAATAAAGAATCAAAAAGAAATATCCTGAAAATACTACTGCTAATTTTTCACGTAACCAAAAGTTAAAAGTGGTCATCATTTTATAGAGGAAAAAGTAATGAAAGAATAATGCCATGCAGTCTAAGGTCAATGTGAAAATCAAATATGTTGCATATTATAAATTATATCACAAAAAAATTACTCTTTCTTTTCCAGCTTATTATAGATTAAAAATAGTAAATACTGTAGAGGAGGAAAAATATTGAATTGGTGAGATTACATGGACAACTTTATAGTCGAAACATTCTGTAAATTTAACATCAAAACCTGCTGATTAAATTTGTTAATTTTGTCAATTAATCTTTGCATTTTGGTAGCTGAGGTGGCTGCTTTGATAAAGGGGTATAATTTTTTTTTATTCTTAACTCTCCAGAAATAATTTAATGATTAATCACTTGTATAATATAAACTGTGAACAACAACTTATTATATGTGTATACATTAATGTGCTGATTTAATTATCATTTGTTTTTCATGTATGTATATTTTTCATAATATTAAAAGATAATATTTAAATTTGTAATAACATTTTCTTTCCAGGATCTTTTTATAGAGAAAGATTTGGAAATTATGCAGGATGGGCTAATACGGTACTCAGTTTTGTTTTAGATATTCATTAAGCTATAAAAGCAAAATTTTGTATAATCTTAAAACAAGTTTTATATCAAAGATTAGAGTAAAAAATACAACAGTGGGCACTTATTATAATTATTTCCTATGTCTTCCAGAAAAAGGTAATTATAATGTGAGATTGCTATAGCAAAAAATGGATTTATATTATCATCAGTAGTGTTATCATTCATTTTGTTATAGAAAGGAAAATAAGGTATCAGCAATTTAAAAGAATGTTTTTTAACTCGAATATAAAAAATAAGTTGTTGCTTTTTGTTTGTTTGTTTATTTCGTTTTTTGCCTTTAATTTGCTGAACATGTGTGGATTCTGCAGGTTTCAGCATGATCAGTGTTAATGGATTTTTTTCTGTAAATATATTTCATACTGCTATAGTGATATATAAATGCTAATAGAATATTCACTTTGTAAATTTTATCATTGTTCAGTGCAGAAATGGTTTTTCTCAATAGAAGTTTCATATAATTATGTTTAAAACTTAAGATGACACTTTCATTAAAAGGCTGAAAATACCACATAATCTTTGGTGACATATATTCTAGTGTTTTCCAGATGGGCGTTGTAATTAATAATTACATAATCCATCGGGAAATCACTACTGCTTTCCTATTTTTATATATCTTTTGTTCAAACAATGCAACCTTTCCTCATGAGTATTTGCAATCCTCTATAAATTAACATTGTTTCTGCAAATTGCTATTATGATTTTAATATGTATGAAATATTGAGAATTTGTATAGGCATTTTTGTATTACCGCATGTCAGCAATTTATTGCTGGTATAAATTGAAGTAAAGTAATGACCTTAAATTGTTTTGTAAAAATTTGTTTAGAACCACAGTTCAGCATTCAGAGTGTTAATTGCCTTACATACTCATGTTCTATTTTCTCTGTCTTTACACAATTTTATGTAATGCTTGATCATTATGAATTTGTGGAACTTACCTTAAAATGAAATAAAGTCTGTCTGCTCTTTGCAGAATATAGCATATTTCTAGAAAACAAATATTGCAATCTTTCACATCTAATAAATTAATATTTCAATAAATAATGCATTTATTGGAGTGCAATATTCGCATATGTCAGAAAAGTGTTAAAATACATTTTAAAAAATTTGATTCAAAGGAAACCCCCATAACATATGCAACAGCTTTATGATTCATTAATTGCTGGTGTGAGGAACGAGCAGCTGCCAAGTTCTGCCAAAAGCAACTAGAAAAGGCAGGCAAAATGATTTGTTGATTGAAATAATTATCTACAGGAACTATGCCTCTTTGAATTGGTTGAAGCAGGAAATGAAAAAATTAGTAGTAGTATCTAATACATTGTGGAGTTTCACAAAAGCATGCTCACAAGAAATGAAAATACTTCTTCTAAATCTTAGGAGAATACTTCCTCCCCAATTAGTATTTTTTGGTATTTATCAGGAAACAAGAGAAATTTTCTTGCCATGGTCCCTAACTGTAGTGCTACCGCATTAATGAATGAAATAAAAAGACACATGAAAGATGGAATGACTATTTTTTCCAACTGTTGAAAGGGGTATAAAATGAAAGAATTGGAACAGTATGGTTATATTAATTGCCAAGGGAAACACAAATACAATTTCATTTATCCTGAAACTGGCAGAAAACATGTGAATAATATAGAATTCATCTGAAGAGCTGCAAAATAAAAAATATTGAGAAATATCTCACCATCATCTCAAGTACTACTTTACAGGCCCGCAGATTTTATGTGGAGGCGCCCCCCCCCAAAAAAAAGCATTCAGTTCTTCATCACTCTCAATCAAATCCAAATTTTTAATGATAATAAGTAATGAGCTTTTTGAGAATCATGAATGTTTTAACAGTATAAGAATTGAGTATCAGTTTTTGGTTCCCCTGAATTCTTCATCATACTTAATCAAATCTCAGTTTTTAATGATAGTAAATAATGAGCTTTTCGAGAATCATGAATGTTTTAACAATATGAGAATTGAACATCAGTTTTTGTTTCCTCTGTCAAATTTTAGTTTTATATGTAAAGGACCACATTACTTTTATTTGAGACAGTCATCTTGGAGAATATGAAGAAATGAGTGCTGCAGAGCTGAGTTTTACCATAAACTTAGTGTTACAGATCCATGTTTCTCTCATTCTATTTTCATCGTAATGAGATGTCTGTCAATTAGTCAATATTTAGTACTAACTTCTAAATCATAATTGAACCCATTCAGACCCAGTTTTTGAAAATCAGAGTGAGAAGTTTTCAGTTCATGTGAGAAAAGCATTGCATCTGCCCAATTCTAAAGCTGCATACCTAATTCATCAATGAGAAAAGCTGGATTCAGGTGTTATAGTGGAATAAATGATTCTGGCCTGTTATTATATGAAATATAAAAATAACAAGGCATAAAAAAAGGAAGGACTTGAGCCTTTTTGCAGCAGTTGGTATAATGGAGTAGTTACAATAATGAAAGATCATTGTAGTGAATGTTAATTGTATGCTGCAAATACTTCAAGAAATAGTCAGTTTTAATCAGTAATAAATTTGGATTTCTAATAGAATCAAGAAATGGTTTAAATGATATAAAAGGATATCTGCTAATTTTTACTTATCTCTAGTTCTTATGTAAAGCAGATAAGGGAAACAAAAAAAAAAAAAAAAAAAAAACTGAATTCCTTTATCAAAAGTTCATAGTTGAGTATTTCCAAATTAACTCAAGTTAATATTTTCATTCTCTTTCTCTGCTCAATCTGTAGAATTCTGCTTTTCGATCTTTGTCAGTTGCTAACTTTTGCTGCAATAAGTGCAGTGGAGTTGAATCGAGAGGAAAAAAATATAAGCAAGTATTTTCATAAAAAAATTGCTGCAAGTTTAATTTTTTGAAATTTTAATTCTCATATTCATTTAATAATGTTTTAAAAAAAACGTTTTGCAACAAAACCTAAAACTAGCAAAGCAATTTATTTTTTTATTATATGTTTCAAATTTATAATAGAAAAAGTCATTAGTAAGTAAAAAAAAAAAATAATTTTCTTAAAATTCACATTTTTGCAATATTTAAATTTCATTTTAGAATATATTTATATAAAAGTTGAAATAGATATTTTCTGTTCATGCTTTCTTAATTTGCTATCCTTTATATTTATTTCCACTATTTCTGTTTGAGTAAAATATTAATTCATTTATGCATATATATAATATTACAGATTCTGTTTGCTGCTGATCTGAAAAAATTTAAAGATGGAATTAAAGCCACAGAATAACTTTTATTTTAGTCATCATGTATTGCTTTTATAAAGTAAGCATCACTGTATTTGTATAAAATTTCTGATGATAATGTTTACATTTAAAAAATCATGCTTTTTAATTTTTGTGATTATTTTGTAAAAAAACATTGCAATAGTTGCTTAAATTCAATTTATTTCTTAATATCATTAAATTTTGTGCTTATCTTTGCTATTAAGTGAAAAACTGACTAATTAAATTTGTTTTTAATTAAAAAATGAGGAAATACAGCTTAAAATGACAGATATATGTAAGAGTACCCAAAAATAACTGCAAGCGAATATTTTGTAATTACAGATTGTTCCTCTAGGCCTGGAATCAGCAACCATCTACACTTACTATGCCAAAACTTTCTTACAGCATTCTGAAATTCTGCATGTCACTGTCATAAACCACTTATCGTTCTACAAGAAACAATGCTTACCACTATGTTTCTACAAAAAACAATGCTTATAATCAACATTTATTAATAAGATTGGCAAGAAGCATGTTTAATTATTTATTTACCTTAATTTTGTTCTTGCTTCTCTTTGCATAGTTGCTATATGTCAGGACTGGACTTCAGCAATTTTTGGCTCGGCATACACTTCTGAATGATAAGTTGTTTGGTGACATCTGTGTAAATTCAAGACATATTTCACGTGTGAAAAAAAACTTGCTGACATGTGTAGCTCAATGTGAAAAGAGAAAAATGAGCAAATGCTTCTTTCTTCAAACACATGAAAGTTTCAAGCATAGATGCCGAGCACTGTAAGATTGCTGTAGAACTATTTGTACTGTCATGTTCAAGACATTGATCCTTAAGTTTGGAAGGCTTGCCCTCGTAATATAAGCTTTATTTTGAGTGCTTCTACGATATTGCAAGAGCTCATCTATGTAAAAGTTCATAATAGTTTAGCGATATTTAAGAAATACTTGTAATTTCTATTGATAATATCATGCTTAACTATTTGTAATTTTGATATGAATCTGTCAGCATTAGTAAAGTTCTAATAGGTTTTTGCCTTTCACCTTGAAAATGCTTGTTTAATACATTGAGATGTACTGTAATATCATCAGGAAACCTTCATCACTAAATTCTGGAAAATGTTGTTATTTGTTTATCAAGGAACAAGATTGCATCCAAAAATGACACAAATACATCCAGCATCTTACCTTGGCTAAGGCAGCGAATGTTACTGTACAGAGGGGAGGATTACCATATGAGCTCTGTATTTTTCCAGTAATGCTTAATTGTTTGTGAGTCAATGCAGAGAAAAACATTATGAAATTCACTGTTTAACAACAGCTTCCATTACAGCATATAGCTGACATGCAGAGCTGCATTTAGCTCACACACAAATTCTATGTATGTATAATGCAATGTAAGCACAATACAATATGTGATGGCCAGTATGATCTCCAAGAAGTTTTACAAAACACTTTTTAGTGCAAACTAAACCAGAAGCTCCATCTGTGGTAACACAAAATATTTTTAATATTAATATTTTGCTCTTCAAAGCAATTGAGAAACATGGAAACAGTGTCCTCTCCATAATTGTGCCATGAGGTGGGATGAAGAAGCCCAGTTCATCTTAAACTCAGTCGACGAGCCACTACAGCAACTACGACACATCATTCACATCAATGGTTTCATCATCAGTGACACTGAAAGCCGAAGTGTTTTGTTTATTTTTCTTCCATTTCTATTATATGCCTGTCCACTGATCTGATGAAGCAGTTATTTCCCGAATATGAGATAAGCTTATTTGTTTGTAAGATTAATCACTAAGTTCTGCCAAACTTGTTAGTATTTCTTTAACAAATTCTGCGTTTTTCATACCAACTAGCTGACTAATAGTTTACTTCTGATACCTGGAAACAATCCTGTTGATGGTTTTGGGTTTCCCCTTGGAATTTGCTTAATGTTTGGCTTTCTGCACTTGATGTTCAAATCAACACACTTTCACAGCCCAGAGAACAAAAAAAATGTTGTGTAAATATGTACTCACTAATCCAGAAAGCTTTAGAAAAATCAATATCTAATTTTGGTTTTTTAGCATACATCTGTTTGCTTTTAAACTGTCATAAGGACAAAGCACAAGGAAATGCTCATTAGAAGACTGAAACTCAGATTCATGTCTGTCATTGTACTCATAAGTCACACTGCATCAGACTGTAACTTCCTTAAAAACAAGCATTCCCAAACTGTTGCCTGCAAGCAGCATATAGTAACTTGCAGTGTTTGAAAACTGTACTGTTATTAACCCCATATATTTTGACTTAAAAAAAAAATGAAGTTTATGACATTGTGGATGTCTGTTGCCACATTTCTTCAAATTAATAAATATGCCTGACATTAAAAAATTTTACACTTTTTTAAAATCCTTTTTTTTTTTTTTTTTTTTTTTTTTTTTGCTATTATAGATAGTCCCCCATGCCACATACAGTGCATGTTCCTGGGTTTACCAACCCCTTCTGTAGGCCTTGTTATCTCAAAACTTCTTGCATCTATTTGTCAAGTGGCATCACTCTGAATAGAATGGTTTTCCTCAGTGTTGATCTGTATGTGATTCTGTTTTCAGCATCCTACCATTTTGTGACATGTGGCCACAAAGAATAAAGAGTTTGAGTGAAATTTTGTTTTCTGTAGAGGAAAACTGCAACTAAGACTTATAGTTTGGGTAAACCTTTAAATTTGATATTTTGAGTAAATCAGTTGTGATTTTCTAGATTCAAAACATGGTAACATTCAGATGTAAACTGTTACATCTTAGGCATCCAGTGATGAGAAAAAATGAAGGAAACATTGAGAAAATGTGACAGGCTACTAATGAAGTTCATTGAAAGATTGTTCACCAAATTATTAAGAATTGTTCCATCCAAGAGGGAAGACAACATGAGACTTCTCTCTCACTCATACTACTTAACAAATCTTCCTGCCCTGGGCAACTTTTCCCTGTATTCACAGATAGAGAAAGTTTTCAAAAAGCAGTTTATAAATAATGTGGCTGAGGTGTGAGAAAATGTGCTATTTGCCTTATTAATAATATTCTACATCAAAAGTTCCAGAACTTTTTTTGTGTTTACTATCATGGGCAAAATATTTGGAAAATCTATCAGTGCTAGTGGAGAGTACTAAAATATGCAGTAAAGTATAGTATAGTTGCTTAAAATCAGTCCAGGTTTTTGTTGATATCCTTTCGTAATCATCTTGATATGAATTTGCAAACCTGATGAATCACATGAAGAAGAGAAGAAAAATTGTATAATGGTTGTAAATATAGCATATGCTTATATAGTATTTAAAAACATTTACAGGAATGTAATAATATATAATGGAAGAAATATTAGAGAATTTGACTATTTCCAGATTATAAGTGTCATAAGAGCCAACTGCTGATCTTTTTGAATTTTTATTTTTTATTGTTGTATACGGTACTACTTCAATCTATCATTCCTGCAGTGATAATTTTCCCATATATATCATTCACCAATTTTATTCTTAAAGTAAATAAACTTATTTTTTCTGCATTCCATCCTTACTCAAACTATCTTTTCTGTTCAGCATTTTCCACATGAATTGTTTAGGGGGGAAAATATGTTTTAAAATTAGATATATATTTATAATTTGCATTACCTTCTATTTGGACTATAAATTGGACAACATTACTATTGTACTAATACTTCACATGTGATCCTGAGTTATGTAATTACATTATTAGCATCATTTCGAAAGTTATTTCATTGCAAGTTACATTAATTTTATTTCTGTGGCTTCATTCATTTCTATTAGTTTCCAGGGTTTACATTTCAGTTTTCAGTTTGGCTCTACAAGTAGCATGAAGGCTAGAGGTAATGATGAATAAGAGATGAAGCTAAGTTTAATTAAAATCTAACAAGTTTTATAAAAAGTTAAAAAGTTTCTCTGTGTGGAAATTAGAAGTGACATAAATTGTAAAAAGGATTTTAAGTCTCAAAAAATCATATTTTCAGTAGAAACAGAATTCACTAAAGAACTAAAAGACAGAATATAAATTTTTATTTAAAGTAGTTTAATAAGTGCTTTCATGTTGAAAATATTAAATGTTGTTGATTGATAAAATATTATATATTTTTACTCTTGGGTTGTTTTAAAAGTCATGATGCTTTTGTTCTATTTCTTTAGTGGTCCTTTATTTATATAAAGACTAATGATCAGTCAGTAGTATATTGCTTGTTTTGTTGAATAATATTTTGCTTTCTTTTAATGAGCTTCATAATTCTTTATTCACAAAAGAACCTAGCTTTATCAGTGAAAAGCTGAACAAGGTGCTGATTTACGTCCTCATCTGAATTGAATGTTATACCACAAAAGAAATTTTGAAGAGAGTGATGCAGGTAAAATTCTGAAAACACATTATCAGGAGAGTGTGATACATGTGGCAAAACTTTTTATCCAAACTCCAATAATTTTTGTCCTATAATTAAACTTGGGTGTGGTCATGTGTCGTCGGGATAAAATGCAGTTCCTATAGGATTAATGAGCTGTGGAAGTTTCTGGAAGATGGATTCATTGATTGTCCAGTTGACAACACACATTCACACTGATTTGTTGGCTTGTCGGTAGGAGCTTGGAAACAAGACCACACACAAGTTTCATTGCTAATAAAAATTACTGAAGTTTGGGGGGGGGAAATGTTGCTATATGTATCATACTCATCTAACCTTGTTCCCTCAGACTTTTACTTGTTTCAATCTCTTCAAAACCTTTTTAATGGTATAACATTCAATTCAGATGAGGCCGTACATCAGCACCTTGTGCATATTTTCATTGATAAAACTAGGTTCTTTTGTGAATGAGAAATTACAAAGCTCATTAAAAGAAAGGAAAAAGTTATCAAACAAAATGGGTAATGTATTGACTGATCATTGTTCTTTATATTATAAATAAACGACTTTTGAAGAACATAAAAAAATGGACTTTTCAGACAACCTAATATGTGTAATAAATTTGGTTCCCTTCATCCCATTAAAAACTAAAAATCAAGGTGCCACTGCATATCCACCAAGATTATATGAAATATACAAAATTTTCTAACCAAAAGAGAAAATGTAGCTATAAATTTGCCCCCCCCCTTTTTTTTGTCATTTTCTGCATAGAAATTAAGCTTAAATGAATAAATGCAGCCAGTAACAATTTTAAAAAAAAAAAATTTGACTTTTAATTTGTCATCTTCATTTTGGATACTGGCAGTCTTAAAACAATAAAATCATGTAGAAATAACTGAACTGAAAGTTAATTATTGCACACGGAGTAAAAGATTCTTTCTTAACTGTAATGAGAAAATTGCTTCAGAGCTTCAGAAACATTCAGAGCCAAAAGATAGTCGAAAAAATCATCAGCACCATAAACAAAAGTTCAAAAGCAAAGCATCAAATATCTATAAGTGTAAAAATCCTGAATTGGGAAATATATAAAGTTTTAGACAATCTACTTATGTATATTATTGGAATTCTTTCTGCCATCATTATCCATCTAGGATTTCTTATTCTTCATGAATTGTATGTCTTTAATCTTTATGTAAAACTTCTAAAATAATATTTTTGAAACATAAACATATGTGGATGGTTTATTACAGTCAAAAGTCGTTAATCCGGACTCGTCAGGACTTCGACGATTCCGGATTATCGATTTTTCCGGATTATAGATCATCAGTTTAAATCTGGTAAGATGGCATGCAGAAATTCTAAAATTAAAAATATGAAACCGTAATTTATGAAATAAAGAACAATTATGATCTAAAGGGTAACAAAATTTGCATAAAGAAAAAGCTTAATATTTATTTGTTTACTTTATTAAACATTTCCTTCATTGTAAGTTGCTTCGTTTCATGTGATAATACTTTCTCTTTAATTCTACTAAACAGACATAATTTCTTGTTTAGTTACAAAGTTCCGCTGTTCAAGTCCTATAATTGCTGTGTTGAGAATACCGACTAATTTGTCAATCGAAATGTTTTCGTTTTCAATAACCTCTGGGTCACTTTCTTCACTATTGGAAGCGAATTATAATGACAAGGAACTTGATTTAAATCATATCAAAGACAGAGTACATCGAAATGAAATACTACACTTAGTAAGTAATTATAAGCCAAATAAAATAAAACATCTGCTCTGAAGATAAGGATAGTGCTGACAAATCAACTTCCAATCCGCGGGGTGAAACTGATAAACAGATTTCGGATTTCAAAACATACTTTCGCTTTGTAGATACAAATTACATATTAGTAAATATATATCGGAAATTCTATTTGACATAATCGAAAGTTCAAGCCTACTTTTATGAAATTGCTCTAACAGTCTGCAAAAAATAATAAGCCGGATACAATTTTAAGATTAAGGAACAACGCAATCTGCAACATTAACTTAACTGAATTTGATAATTTTAGCTTAGCATATAACTCCGTTACACATTAAACGTGCATGCGCACAAACATATTCGCAGCCGTAAAGGTCTTACGCGCTCTCGTAAACACCTGTGCGCATGCGTGAACGCGACGCATACGCAGAAAGTTTGTAGCTTTGAGGTCTGGATTATAGATCATTCCGGATTATGGGTGTCCGAATTAATGACTTTTGACTGTATTTTCTTTTCTAGAGAACTAATGATGAAAAATATTGCAGTCACCTCTTGGAAGTACCATTGACATTTTGTATAGTATGAATGCACATACAGAGTTGCCAACTCTCCCGATTTAGGCGGGAGACTCCCGATTTTCAACCACTCTCCCGCCAACCCGATTTACAATGTATTTCTCTCTCCCGACTTTTTCTTATTCTTAATAATTTCTCACGATTTTTTTATGCAACTTGGCTTCATACTTTCATACTGTTCATACTGTTATATGAATAAAAAAAAGTGCTTTTGGACGTCTGAAAGCAATTGAATTTTCTCTACATTATATCTAAAACAAAACCTTGTGAATCAGATAGCTTCTGCTTTGTGAGTTGAGAGCATTATACGTATCCAGAAACGTCATTCTTCCAGTTCTCCAATAGGGCATTCGAGCTCCACTGCGTGTCAGCTGGCATATATTAGCCAATGAGGACAAAGCAAGTTGTTATTTTTGGACGTTCTTTTTAGTTATTTCGTTCATTTTGTCCTGAGTTGTGTGAGTACACGTGGCTTAGGGAAATAGTTTTAGAAATTATCATCTTTTGTTACGTCTGCGAGAAAGGTGAAATACTCGTGTACGTTTCAAAAATCGTACACAGTTGACTTTCCTTCCATTATTTCCTCAAGGAAATGTAATAAATTTGCGATGTGTACCGCCTGTCGTTGCGAGTTTTCGATTTCGTATGTTGGAAGGGCAGATGTTCTCAAACGTGCATACACAAAAACACAAGGATAACATGAGTTGTTTTGAAAAAAACGA